TATTGGACTTTTGATTACAATTACATTTGAAATTTAATAAACAGTTTCTGTAATTCTCTAGAAATGTATTGATTTTGGAAATAAATGTCAATTCATTTAAAAGTCTCTTATTTTCTGCAAACAATTCTGAAATCAATTCATTGATTACTAATTCACACATTGTTTGAAGTCTTCGTCCGATTTAACCATCAATTCATTCAATCATTAGTTAACTAAAACACAATTCAATCAAAACTCACTTACAGTTACTGTTTGTAAACAAAACATTTCCAACACATCCATAGATAACGTGTGGTTTATATCAAATCAATTTATGTTACAATAAAACACAAATAAATCATTTGCCGGCAATTGTGAGCTGAAAATTAACAATTTTAATAATTTTTATATAAATAATATTTATTTAATAAAAACATATAATTACTCTAATTATGAGATTTAATTAAAAACATTTTGTGAATGGTTTTTAACTAAATTTATTATAGATATTATTTTTTTAAAGAAATGACAAAACAAGACAACAGTTATTATATTTTGGAAAAACATAATTTAGTTAATAAGAGTAATAATTGATTATCATTTAACTCAAAACCATTTTGTGAACGGCTTTTAAATGTTGATTAAGCGATGGTTTAGAGAAATAGCTTTTATCACATCCACTAAAATGGCATTTATGGGGACGAATGCCCTGATGTTCGTTCATATGGCCCTGAAGTCGGCGATTATCACCAAATCTCTGGTCACATTCGGGCCAATGACAGACATACGGGTGTTTGTGAGTGTTTTTATGGCTTTGTAATATACTTCTGGTCGCATAACTTTTCCCGCAACCGTCAAACGGACACTTGTACTCGCGTTCGCCGGTATGTGTCCGCCGGTGATCAACCAAACTAGTGTTTCTCTTGTAAGCGGACTCACATCCGGGCCAATCGCACCGATGCGGCCGCTCATCGCTGTGGACAGACATATGTTTAATGAAGGAATCCTTTCTATGAAAACTCTTCCCGCAATCGGTCTCTTCGCACACAAATGGCCGCACATTCTGGTGCTTCCGTCGGTGGACATCAAATTCCGTCCGCGAGTTTGTAGCCCACGAACAGCCGCTGACATCGCATTCATATCTATTAATGTTATGTCGTTTCCCGCGATGTTCTGTCAGTGAACTATTGGAGGGAAACCTTTCCTCGCAGTCATCGCAAGCGAACGGCAGATCTCCGGTGTGTCGGCGCCTGTGATCGACCAAACTCTCGGCCTTTTTGTACGCCGCCTCACATGCGGGCCAATCGCACCGATGCGGCCGTTCATCGCTGTGTCGTCGCATATGTTTCTGGAGTTCGTTTTTAGTAACAAAACTCATCCCACAGTCCGTCTCTTCGCAGACAAACTCTTTGATATTGAGGTGACGTTTCTTGTGATCATTTAAAGCACTCACACCGATGGTCTCAAACTGGCAGTCATTGTAATCGCATTTAAAATCCTTCTTCGGCACAAACGGTTCCAATGAGTGCTTTTCGCGCCGATGTCTGCAAAGATCGCTATTCGATAAAAACCGTTTCGGACAGTCGTGACACTCAAATGGCCGGTCGTTTGTGTGGACGCTCTTCATGTGTCGTTTCATATTACATAACGTCGTGAAAACATTTGTACAGTCAGGCCATTGGCAGCCATAGGGCGGCCCCGGAATCGCCATAACGTCGTTGTCGTCAAAGTGTCCGCTCAGGTGTTGATGTATTTTAAGAGACCTCTCGTGTGCAAATGTTCGGCCGCAATCATCGTAATCGCAAAAAAATTGATGATCAGTTCTCTCGTGATTCTCCCGATGGCTGTCAAGTATTGACTGATTGACGGCTCGGAAATTGCAATTGTCGTAATCACACGCAAACGGCTTAAGTGTCCGTATTTTTATTGTTTTTAGTTTATTATCCGATTTAATGCTAATCTCATTGTGTTCTAGTCTTCGGTGATATTCTAACAGACACTTTGCTTTGAATGTCTTAACACATCCGTAATAATCGCATACATAAAGGGATGTCTTCGACGGTGCGCTCACTGATTGACTCGTTTTTGATTGATATACTTTAGATGTCTTCGGGACTGTACTGACAAATGACTTCCTCGCCGTCTGTTGCACTCTCTGTCTCTTCGGCTTATTATACGTCGAGTACTTCATCACTGAAAGTGGTGACCAATCCGTGTCCTCCTTATCCTTTTTAATCTCATTGTTGATATGTATTGTCTTTTCATTTCTGTTGTCAACACATCCATCACTTCCAGTGTCTTTCCCTATCTCTCCTTCGTTTACACCGTCTTCGGCTGTCATTAACTGGTCTTCAGTAGTGATTGTCTCCGATCGGTGGCCGACAGGTGTTGTCTGTGTATCCAATGGCCAGTTATGAGTGGTTGTGGTTTGGGTCGAGTGTTGAGCGCATCCATCGGTGATAATAGTCTTGTATTGACTCTCCAGGGATTCAATTAAGACCTGATTATTGNTCGAGTGTTGAGCGCATCCATCGGTGATAATAGTCTTGTATTGACTCTCCAGGGATTCAATTAAGACCTGATTATTGGACTTTTGATTACAATTACATTTGAAATTTAATAAACAGTTTCTGTAATTCTCTAGAAATGTATTGATTTTGGAAATAAATGTCAATTCATTTAAAAGTCTCTTATTTTCTGCAAACAATTCTGAAATCAATTCATTGATTACTAATTCACACATTATTTGCTGTCTTTTAACTCATTTAATGATCAATTAATTCAATTATTCATTAATTAAAACACAATTCAAATCACAATTCAATCAAAACTCATTTATAGTTTTTCACTCAAAACTGTTTGTAAACAAAACATTTCCAACACATCCATAGATAACGTGTGGTTTATATCAAATCAATTTATGTTACAATAAAACACAAATAATTTGCCGGCAATTGTGAGCCGAAAATTAACAATTTTAATAATTTTTATATAAATAATATTTATTTAATATAAACGTATAATTACTCTAATTATGAGATTTAATTATAAGCATTTTGTGAATGATTTTTAACTAAACTTATTATAGATATTATTATATTTTTTAAATGACAAAACAAGGCAACAGTTATTATATTTTTGAAAAACATTTATAAATTTAGTTAATAAGAGTAAAATGTTATGTTTTTAACTCAAAACAATTTTGTGAACGACTCTTAAATGTTGTCTCAGCGATGGTTTAGAGAAAAAGCTTTTATTACATCCGGAAGAATGGCATTTATGGGGACGAATGCCCTGATGTTCATTCATATGGGCCTTAAGACTCCAGTTATAGGCAAAGGTGTGGTCACATGCGGGCCAATGACAGACAAACGGATGTTTATGAGAATTAATATGGGTTTGTAAAGTGCTGTTACGCGTAAAACACTTCCCGCAACCGGCAAACGAACACTTATACTTGCGGTCATTGGTATGTGTGCGCCGGTGATCGTCCAGTACTTGAGGTGATTTGTACGCGGACTCACATCCGGGCCAATCGCACCGATACGGCCGCTCATCGCTGTGCGACAACATATGTTTCTTGAGGCCACGTTTGGAACCAAAATCTTTCCCACAATCGGTCTCTTCGCACACAAACGGCCGGATATTCTGGTGCTTCAGTTGATGGGCCTCGAAGTCCAGTCGATGGTTAGTGCCGTACGAACAGCCGCTAACATCGCAATGAAGCTTCATATCGCCGGTGTGTCGACTCCTATGAGTGGCCAATGTGTTGATTGTTTTGAAAGCCATCTGACACGCGGGCCAATCGCACCGATGCGGCCGCTCATCGCTGTGCGACCGCATATGTTTCTTGAGGTCGGCTTTCGTAACGAAACCCATCCCACAGTCGGTCTCTTCGCAGACAAACTCTCTGATATTGAAGTGACGTTTCTTGTGATAACTCAAAGCACTCAAACTGATGGTCTCGAACTGGCAGTCATTGTAATCGCATTTAAAATCCTTCTTCGGCACAAACGGTTCCAATGAGTGCTTTTGTCGGCGATGTAAGCAAAGTTCGCTATTCGATAGAAACCGTCTTGGACAGTCGTGGCACCCGAATGGCCGGACACCGGTGTGCACCTGATCCATGTGTCTCTTCAGGTGTGAAATGTTCTTAAAGGTTTTCGCACAATCAGGCCATTGACAGCCATAGGGCGGCCCCGGAATCGCCATAACGTCGGTGTCATCGAAGTGTCCTCTCCTGTGTTGATGTATTTTAAGAGCGCTCTCGTGTGCAAAAGTTCGGCGGCAGTCGTCGTAATCGCAAATAAATTGCTGGCCATCTCTCTCGTGATTCTCCCGATGGCTGTCAAGTATTGGCTGATTGACGGCTCGGAACTTACAGTTGTCGTAATCGCACGCAAACGGCTTCAGTGTTCGTATTTCTATTGGTTTTAGTTTATTATTCGATTTAATGCTAAACTCTTTGTGTTTAAGTCTTCGGTGATCTTCTAATAGACTCTTCGCTGTGAATGTCTCAACACATCCGTAATAATCGAAAACATAGAGAGATGTCTTCGGCGGTGCGCTCACTGATGGACTCGTCTCCGATTGATATACTTTAGATGTCTTCGTGACTGTACTGACACATGACTTCCTCGCCGTCTGTACTCTCTGTCTCTTCGGCTTATTATATGTCGAGTACTTCATCACCAAAAGTGGATCCCAAACCGTATCCTCGTTCTCCACTTTAACCTCATTCTCATTAATGGGATGTATTGTCTCATCAATTGTGTTCTCAACACATCCATCACTTCCAGTGTATGTCTCTATGAGTTTGTCATTTACAATGTCTTCACCAGTCATTGACTGGTCTTCAGTAGTGATTGTCTCCGATCGGTGGCCGACAGGTGTTGTCTGTGTATCCAATGGCCAGTTATGAGTGGTTATGGTTTGGGTCGAGTGTTGAGCGCATCCATCGGTGATAATAGTCTTGTACTGACTCTCCAGGGATTCAATTAAGACCTTATTATTGTAGGAATCGATGAAAACGCTTAATAAAACACTTCTATATTTCTCGAGAAATGCATTACATTTTAAACTGAATTTCAATTCATTTATTAGTCTTTGATTTTCATTAAACAACTCTTCAATCAATTCATTGATTATTATTTCACACATTGTTTGAAGTCTTCGTCCGATTTAACTATCAATTCACTCAATCATTAGTTAATTAAAACACATTTCAATCAAAACTCAATTACAGTTATTGTTTGTAAACAAAACCTTTACAACACATCCATAGATAACGTGTGGTTTATATCAATTCAATTTACGGTTCAATTAAAATTAAAATATAATTAATGCTAATTATGTTGTAAATCAATTAATTTAATCATTTTATTAGAATTAATATTATATTAATAATTCATATACAGATATAAATGTATTTTAATTATTATAGGATTAACTCAAAACCATTTTGTAAACGGCTTTTAAATGTTTATTAAGTTGTGGTTTAGAGAAATAGCATTTATCACATCCCGGGAAATGGCATTCATGGGGACGAATGTCCTGATGTTCGTTCATATGTGCCTTAAGACTCCAGTGATAGGCAAAGGTCTGACCACATTCGGGCCAATGACAGACAAACGGGCGTTTGTGTGATTTTACATGGGCTTGTAAACTGGTTCTACGCGTAAAACACTTCCCGCAACCGGCAAACTGACACTTCAAGCGTTCGCCGGTATGTGAGCGCCGGTGATCGGCCAGTATTTGAGATGATTTATACGCCGCCTCACATGCGGGCCAATGGCACCGATGGGGCCGTTCATCGCTGTGAACAGACATATGCCTATTGAGGTCACGTTTGGTGCGATAACTTTTCCCACAATCGGTCTCTTCGCACACAAACGGCCGGATATTCTGGTGCATCAGTCGGTGGGACTCGAAATCCGTCCGATTGTTAGTGCCGTACGAACAGCCGCTGACATCGCAATTAAGACTCATATCGCCCGCGTGTCGGCGCCTGTGAGCGATCAAATTGTTGGTTGTTTTGAAAGCCATGTGACACTCGGGCCAATCGCACCGATGCGGCCGCTCATCGCTGTGTCGCCGCATATGGTTCCGGAGTTCGGCGTTCTTAACAAAACTCATCCCACAGTCGGTCTCTTCGCAGACAAACGCTTTGATATTGAGGTGACGTTTCTTGTGATCCTTCAAAGACTTCGAACCGGTGGTCTCGAACTGACAGTTATTGTAATCGCATTTAAACTTCTTCTTCGACACAAAGGGTTCCAATGAGTGGCTGCGATGGGACGGCCCCCGAGTCCTCAAGATATTGGTGTCAGCGCTGTGTCCACTCGCGAGGCGGTGAATGTTTAGCGACCGCTTGGATTCAAAACATATGCCACAGCCCTTGTAATCGCAGGTAAATTGATTGCCGGGAAACTC